TGATCAGGTCATTTGTCATTTAATGTTGAAATGACTCAAATGACACATGACCAGTCATTTGAGTCATTTGAGGTCATTTGGGTCACTTGCCATCATTGTAATAAGGTGCTCATCACAAAACAGAAATCGAATATTGAATCTTGGATTGACAATCGAGATAACCTCATCGAAGACGTTCCTTATGATGGGCCGGATGATATCGACAGGTATCTAGGACATGAAGAATTTGATGATGATTCTGGTTATTATTTGTGTGATTAGCGTCAAAGTAGATGATGAGTGTGAGTAGAATTTGGTTTTACATATTTTAATCATGAAATTCTCGTTTTATTTATTTGTAATTTTCTAAAAGAAATACTTTTTTTTTTGTCAAATATATATATATATATATTATTCATATGCTTTAGTTCAACTTTTTACTTTTGTCAATAATTTATAAGTTTTTTGTTGTTGTAAAGAAATTTAAGCAATTCCATTTCGATAAGTATTTAACATGATTTTTTAATTTTAAATTTTTAATTAATAACTCTTACTTTCAGAAGAATAAAGAAAAATTAAAAACAAAAATTCCATTACGGAATTTCATCAGTGTAATTTTGACGTTACACAGTAGCTCAGTCGTTAAAATTTCCAATTTAGGATATTATGAACTAATTAAACTTGACAATAGAAAAATTTGTTTAAATGCATAAAATTTTCTTACGAGATATGTATTTTTGTTTCTCTTTTTGAAAGCAATTATACTCATGTATTCGATGCTGGGTATTTACTGTACATACATATGTCACTATGAGCATTAAGTAAAAAGTGGATTTTCTCCCTGGTCTTTAGACATAGCAACAAAATTATCCGAAAGCTAAATTACTATTTACAATTCATAGATGGGTTGTTGATTTCATTTTCCTTGATCAGTTCAATTCAAAGATAATGGTTATTTGTTATTAAACAACTAACAAGAATTCTAAAACCTGGTGGTTATTTGAAGGTAAGAGATGTAGGTTTATTGATTCTTTTTATATGTTATCGTTATCTAGGAATTGACTATTAAATGAAAAAGGAAACGACATAAGGGGATCAGAATTACATTGAACGCACGTATTAAGCAGTCACGAACCATACCTTTACACAGTGAATCATTTAATTTTTACAGCGGTTTCTAATTAGTCGTCCGTGCATCTTTTTTCATAGAAAACTTATTATATAATATTCCAATATTAATTTAAAAAAAAAAAAATTAGAGAAGGTATCCGCGACTATTCATCAAATTTGCAATATCTTAAGTCCGCAGATTGAGATTATCTTATACAGATATAAGAATGCGTGAAACAATATGATCGGAAATTTTATGATTCTCCTCCGAGTTTTTAAGGTTTATGTAGAAATGATCAGCCAAATAAAAAGAAAGAATTTTTTTCATTATTCCCACTATCTTTATTAAAAAAAAATAATTAATTTATATCGATAGCAATATGTCTACGGGTGAACCCTCCCAAACATCTGACCTAAGACGAGACAATGAGTCTAACAAATCTTCAAGTATCGATGTCGAAACTTTGAGTCTAGAAGCTGAATCCTTCATATCCTTTAAATCGAAAAGATCGGATTCAACTGTAAAGTCATCGATAGCTTCATTAACGGAATCCATATCTAAGATGAGTGTAACATCATCCTTAAAACAAAAAAAGGATAGAATTATAACGTCAGTTAAAAACAGATTAAAAGATTTTAACAAGAAAATGCATCAAACATTTGATAAAGGATTTCAAGATTTTGTTTCCAAGGATAAGGAAAGGAAGTTGGAAGAAAATTTTTTGGGATATTACGAATGTTTGATTCCCAGTAATTCCGAATTATCGATTCCAAAAATCTCTCTAACGACGGCTAGAATTGATTTACATGAAACTAAAACACAAGAGCCAGAAAAAGCAAAGTATTTAGTCTTAACGAAAATCAAAGAATCTCCATATATTAATAATTCATCATTATTCATTATCACTGGTAAAGGTTCAAAAATTGAAAATGGAGGATGGACAGGAAAAAAATTTAATGAATTTCCTCAATGGATGCAAAATGATTCTATTAAGGATTTAATAGTTGAAAACCCGGTAAAAGGACTCGGAACTTATAGAGTACTAATAAAAAATATTGAAAATACGGATAATGAAGGTAATATTTATAAAAATATTAACTTGAAGGAATTGGAAGAAATTGCTGAGAAAGAAGATGGGTTTAACTACAAAATGTTATTAGCTGGGTATTATATAATGGGCACTAACGATTTGAAAACCGCAAATTTGCACCCCGCTGAGGAGATGTATAAAAATGCTACAGAGTGGTATCGTAAAGCTGAAAAGTCAGGATCCGTTGAGGCAAAGTTATGTCTAGGATATATGCATTGTATTGGTTTTAGTATGTTAGATTATAATCCAGAAACGGCCAAAAAATTATTTAAGGAAGTGATTAAAGCAAATGCAGTATCAGAAAAGACAAACTCAAGTAAAGAAACCACATCGGAAGAATTGGCCAGAATAGCAATGAGAAATATAGCAATATTATATCATAATAGCTATGTTATTAAACCCTTTGAATGGAAAAATATTATCAAGGTAACTAAACTAATTGACGTTACTTTCCCAAATTTAACAAAATTAAAATTAAAATTAGCAAAAAAATGGTATAAAAAATCGTGTGAATTAAAGGATAGTCAATCTGCATATAATCTTGGATTACTTTACGAAGATAAGGATGGAATTAAAGCGGAAAAATGGTTTGAAAAAGCAGTTGAATTTGATGGGAA